TCAAGATTTTGTTTGGCTAAAGGCTATTTGTGGAGAAACTAATCTCAAATCGATTTTTATGAAGCTTTGGTTGGTAGAGTTTTTCCATTGGCCTTGTGGGACTAATGATTACTCTTCGTGTGGATTTTCTTCTAGTTTTCATCTGATTTTCTTTTATTTGAAGATGATTTTTGTGCAGCGACTAATCTGAAGTGAATTTTGGCAGAGTTTTGCCTGATGTTGGTCCTCCGTTAGCTTGGTTTGGATAATGTTTGTGTTTGATGTGATTCAAAATTTGTTAGATCTCAGTTATTATTGATTGATTTTGGTGATACTACTAGTCTGAAGGTGATTTTGGAGGAGTATATTCATTAGCTCGACTTTGCCTATAGTTATTCTTTGAATGAATATTCTTCCTGGTTAAAATTCATTATGTATTTGTTCTAGTTTATTACTTTTCTTAATTCCAAATTTAATTCGATAGTGTTCTTGGTGTGTGATCTCTTGATGTTCAAGAGATTGTTGGTGTATGGTTGTTTGGATTGTAGAAGAAGATCTTTCTATTCAGAAGAATCGGTTTCAGGTTTATTGAAGATTCTTCGAGATAATGCTGCTACCGCTGGTTATGTAACTATTTGGATGGCTTTGATTGGATCTTCCAAGGAAGATATCTCGGTTAGATGTTTTGGTAAAGAATGAGTTATTGTAATGATTGATTTAATGTTGGTTGGCTCGTATATGATAGATTGTTTGGATCCCCATAAACATATTGGAGTAGCTTTAGGTGGGAGCTTATCCCATCAAGTCTTAAGAATGTTACTTCTTTGTTCTTTGAAGATCAAGTCTTGTTTGTTGTAGACTTGAAGGATTTGAATATTATTGGTTTTTCACTTACTAGGGTGATGTGTGTGGTGGTGGTTATCATTTTGTATGGATTTGGTAGTGTAGAGGTCGATTCTTGGCCTCTTGATGTGGGAGTTTCTGTTATTGCTTCATTGACTTTGTTTAGTTCATCTAAGGTGGTGGTTGTTTGATGCATTGATGATGGCTTTAAGTGGTATCATATCCCAATTAAGCCTGTGGATGCTACTACTTCGATCTTTGAAGAACAAGTATTGTTTGTCAAACACATGAAGGGAATGAAGATTTTGAAGTTCCAGTCTGTCAATGGGTTTACTACGTTGATGAGTTTTTTTGGTTGAAGTCTATAATGATGAGGTGGTTGTTTGGCCTCTTGATTTTTAGTTTATCAATATTGTGTTTTTTCATTATAATTTTAGAGTAATGGAAGGTTAGATTCTATCTAGTTATCATTTTTTATTAGCTTGGGAACTCTGAGATACTAACAACCCTTTTTGGTTATTTTAAAAGTTTTGTGTCCCCAATACCCCAACTGGTTCAAAGTGAGGATTAGTGGATCTTATTTCCATTATGTATTCTTTTTATTTTGCAAATACACTTTTTCTATGCCTTGTTTCCTTTTCTTTAGGACTTCCTTTCCCATTGTTTAGAAATGGATGTTTTTTAGTTTTATTTCTTTTTTAGCTGGTAATAGTTTTTTCTTCCCGTTTTAATGCAAGTTGTATCTCTTCAAAAAAAAAAAAAAAAAACAATTCTCCATTTGAGTTGACATATTTTAGAAGATGAAATATTTTATAAGATCTCAAGATGGACAACTTCTCACATAATCATTAATCTCCAAGATAGTCACTATCTAAGGAGGCCTCAACAAATTTAGTTTTTAATACCCAAAGTTAGGGTGATTGTCAAGCATTTCTTATGCAATGGAGGTATTTTCTTCATCCATATTAGTAAAAATTTTTCTAACATTGTTTTGCATTAGAAACAAAATCCTTATGTTGGGGCCATTGATGATGAGATTTCTAAAATAGATTTTAGAAACATGAATTCTCTAGTAACCTCTAATTTTTTTGTTAAAATTTAACCATTATAAAGAGTTTATTAAATTCCCTATAATATTTAAATCTCGTGGCCAACTTGTTCTTGGTCAACATATAATTGTTGTAACATTATCATACTATTCAATATCAATATAGAAACTTGTGAGTTAGAGCAACTCTATTAAAGTAGTTGGATGTTATAAGTTGATTTTGTGCCAAACATTCTTTCCCATAGAACTTGAGTATGTGCATCTTACACTATTGGTAATTTTATATCCCTTACTCATATTATCTCTCATTAGAGTCTAATAACAAAATTCTATAGGAGCCACCCTACTCTTATGTAACCTTTTACAAGTCATTAAAGTAATTTAGTGGGCTTCAGGCCTTATAAATTTATTGATAATTTACTCATTAAATTATTAGATGATGCAATTCTATACAAAGTTAGATGAGTGAACTACCACAGTGGTGACACTATGAAGGATGTAAATAATACCTTTTACCTCAGTCCATCATTGAAATTTAGTTGGAAAGTGGTTGACTTAAAATATTGTACATGGAAATGAACCACACTATCTGTGGTGACAACTGAAGAGAGAGAAAGTAGGGAGAGAGACTATGGGAATTCAAAATTATGTTATTTGAATTTCTGATTTCACAGCTTCATCGTTGGGAGAATGACGACAGAAGGTCACCGGCCATCTGCGGCCAGTGGTCTCACGGAGGATAGACGTTCATCGGGACGTCTAATTATTGGAGGAGCACGTGATGTTTTATCTTCTCCACCGACATTTGGGGATGAAAGACCAAGTTTTTATCCTGGAATAAAAACTTCTGTTATGATGAATAAACCTTTGACCATTAATGAAGGAGGACAGTTGATGAAGAAACAAACACTTGAAGTACCTAGTACAGGCAAAAGCAAGTTATTGGAGGATAATCTGGAGAATTATGGGTGGCCGATCAAGAAACATATAGAGAAAAAAAATGTTATGACTCCAAGTTCTACATCGGAGAACTTATCCCTAGAGGCTAGGAAGGAGGCAGAAAAGAAGGTGAATTTAGATATCCTGATAAAAAAGACCATTGCTAATAATGAACCTGAATGTTCGATAGTGAAGAAGAATAATTTAGAAAAAGGGAATTCAATTTTGGATATGGAATAAGTGCATGTTTGCATTACTAGAGAGCTCGGGAGATGCATAGAGGTGATTGAGGAAATGCCCAAAGGCCGAATTCTGGTATCCTTCAGAATGTATGGTCTAAAAATAAAAACATTAAAGTTACTGATCTGGATTTTGGTAACTGTATTGCTGAAGATGGTCTAACTGTCAAACTTCATGTGGAGAAAGTTTATGAAAATGCTAAAAAACTTAATAAATCATTGGTGGTCAAAATTTTTGGAGGAGATATCTCATTTGCTTAAATTAGCTATGAATTAAGGAAACAATGGGAACAATATGGTAAATTTCACCTTACGGTCCTGGAAAAAGGATGGATTTTATGTTCTTTTTTATAAACAAAGCATATGGAAGCTGTTCTAACTAACGGTCCCTGGTTCGTCAATGGGAACATTGTTCGAATAGAAAGATGGACTCAAAGGTTTGATCCTAATTCTCTTGAAGGTCTATCGGCTCCTATATGGTTCAGATTGCCAAATTTATCGTTATTCTACTGGGATGAAATAAACATCTGTCGTAGTACTTCCATGGTGGGGAAGCCTTACTTAATAGATGGTAATATGCTCCAATGGTCGAGAAGTGATTTCAGTCGGGTATGTGTCCGTATTGATTTGGATGCTAAACTACCTACAGGTGTGTAGGTAGAGCGAGAAGAAGACAAATTTTTCCAGAAGATAGAGTACGAGAGGTACCTAACCTTTGCTTTGAATGTGGGAAGATTGGACATAGTAAGACTGTGTGTCAAAAGTTTAATGATGAACAGGGAGAAAACTTTACTGATGGAGAAGGAGAATTCAAAAATAATGGTTGATAAGGAAGCTGTGGAAGACAATAAAAAGCCAGGAAATGAGGTGGCAAATACTGAGGATTATGGACCTTGGATGTTGGTTAACTATGAGAAGAAGAAATTCAGCAAAAACTGGAACAATAGACCTGTAGCCCATGTGAATAGAAGCAGCAAAATGTTTCAACCAAAGCAGTACGTTGCTATCAAGAAAGGAGTTAATGAAGACAATGTCTTGGAAGACAGACTAAAGTTCAACAAAGCACTTCAGATGATACAACTGATAAGCTTAAAGGAGGTGGCATATTGGAGAAAGTTTCCAACATGGCAGTTAATAATAAATTTAATGCTATTGTTGACTTGGAAGATGGGGAATTACTCGAAACATCCACTGATGTCAATCTGGTCGAAGGAATAACTGTAAAAGAAGTTAATAAAGTCATAGAGATTGAAGATAATAAGAAGGTTATGGAAGGAACTGACTCAGTTTTCACATAAATGACATGTGTAGGGATTAATGGGAAAGAAGAATATGTACAATCTACTAAGAAGAAGAGGCCAAAGCAGCTTTGAGAACTGGGACCAATAAATGCATCTACCAGAAGCCGTAGAGTGGAGCTTGAAGGAAAATGTAACTTGGGGAGTAATCCCCATAAGCCTTTTTAATGAATTCCATAGCCTTTTGGAATTGTAGGGGAGCAAGGACGAGAAGTGCTTCCCTTACCTTAAGGAGTTTGTGAAAAATAATGGGGTGTGCTTCGTTGGTTTGGTAGAAACTAAAATACCTGGAATTGACAGAAGTGAAGTTGATGGTATGATTGGTAGCACTTGGGACTTCTATTGTGTTATGTCTTCTAGGCTATCTGGAGGCTTGCTTATTCTATTGAATACAAATTATGTTGTGTTCTCTGTGGAAGATAGTTCTTCCCAAATGGTGTTTGATGAACTTAAATTTCTTAATAATGTAAGGTGGAAGGTGACCACATTTATGGGAGTACAGAGGTGAACAAGAGAAGGGAATTATGGAATATGTTAGATAAGTATTCCATTAGTGATCTTCCTATGGTAGTTGGTGGATATTTTAACTGTCTAATGTGTAAAGAAGATAAACTGAGTGGTATAAGATTTGTTTATCATCAAGGATCAAGGGAAATGGCGGAATGCTTGCTCAAGAATGATCTTCATGAAGTTGGCTTTAACGGTCCTAGATTTACATGGTGTAACAATAAGGTCGGTGGTTCTAGAATACTTGAAAGATTGGATAGGTGCTTTGTAAATACGGATGCTTTAAGATCTCCTTTTCATTCGGTAGAAAGAAATTTGGCTAGAATAGCGTCGAACCACTGTCCAATCTTATTACAGTTTCAAAATTTCTGTCCTAATTCCAGTAAAATTATCAAATTTGAAAACTATTGGGCTTCATATCAAGCTTCATTTGGGGTGGTGAGAAAGGAATGTTGTAGGAACTATCAAGGAAGCTATTCTCAAGTTCTCAACAAAAAATGTAAAAGAGCCCTGAAGTCAATATTCTATTGGATCAAGTCTAAGTATAAAGATCTAAATAAGTTGAAAGATGATCTCATGGATGAGATTATGGAACTTCAAAACAAAGTGTCTTCCTTAGGGAGTCTCTCTGAACAAGACTATTGGAACCTTAAAGCTAAGGTGATGGATCTAAATGCTACCATGGCAAGATTGAATACTTGGTGGAAGCAAAGAGCCAAAGTAAAGTGGTTCAATGAAGGAGATGGTAATTCTAAGTTTTTTCATACTTATACTAGTGCTAGAAGGAACTCCAACAAGATAATAAAGGTTAAAGATGAAAATGGGATATTGGTGGAAGATCAAAGGCAAATGGAGGAAGTTTTTATGCGGTTTTTCCAAAATAAATGGGAAGCTAGAAGGAGTAATCTGGAAGGTTGGCCGTCACCTATCAATCGCTTGAATAATTGGGACATAATTTTTTTGCATTCGGATTTATCACTAGTTGAAGTAGAAGATGTCTTAAAATAATTTAGAGGGGTTACTTCCCCAGGTTATGATAGCATTTCTCATACTTTCATCAAGGTTTATTGGGATATCATCAAGGATGACTTTTGGAAGGCTATAAGCCATTTTTTTAAACTTAGTGAGCTTAACAAGGAATGGAAAGAAAATCTTATAATTCTGATACCCCAGGTTTCAAATACCATTCTTCCAACCAATTATAGACCAATTAGTCTATGTAACACAGTGTACAAGGTGGCGACAAGGATAATTTTGAATAGGCTTAATTTGGTCGTTCCCAAACTTATTTCTAAGGAGCAAGCAGCATTCATTAAGGGAAGATCTTTATCAGATCATATCTTGGTGGCACAAGAAATTTTTCACAAACTTAGAATCTCCAAAGCTTCTAAAGGCCTAGTTTCCTTTAAAGTTGATATGGAACAAGCCTATGATTCCATGGCTTGGTCTTCTCTAAGAAGAGTATTGGAATACTTTCAAATTCCCGTCTAAAATTTCTAGACTTATCATGGAGTGTGTTGAAGATCCTATGTTTTCTATTATCATCAATGACAATTGTTCAAATTGGATCCAAGCTAGAAGAAGTTTTCGGCAAGGTTATCCCTTATCTCCCATTCTTTTTATTCTTTGTTCACAACTTCTTTCTTATGCTTTTTATCATAGCTATTGTGGCATCAAGATTAATCTAGAGGGACCTAGAATTTCCCATTTATTGTACGCAGACGATGTGATAATGTTCTCCAAAGCTAACAGGAATGAGGTTTTGGTAGTAAAGAAAATCCTTCATAATTTTTGTGAATGGACGGGACAAAAAATTAACCACAACAAATCTCTAATTATGTTTGGGAAACATGTGGAGAGAAGAAGGAAGAGATGCGTATATAATTATGGGCTTTAAAAATGTCAAAGAATTCTACTACCTTGGGATAAAGATGCCTTTGAGGAGACTCAGGAGAGATGAATTTCAATTTATCATTGATAAAGCTTTGAATAAGCTCAATCAATGGAGTATAAAATGCTTATCACTACCCGGAAAGATTGTTCTGGTGAAAAAAGTGCTGCTTGCACTCGCTACCTTTCACAGTACTCATGCATTAATACCTAAAAAGGTATTGGAAGATCTAGGAAAAATAAGTAGAGACTTCATTTCGAATAAGATAAATGGTTCTAAGGGGTTGCATTATGTTAGCTGGTTTTATATGTGTAAACCGATTGAGTATGGAGGACGTGAGTTACATCCAAACATATCTAAAACTCCAGCTTTGCTGGCCAGATTAGCATGGAGATTCATTCAAGATGATCAATCCTTATTACACTCGGTGATGGCATCAAAAGAAGGTGATAGACTTGAGAAAGGTAATAGCAGAGGTTATTTGTCTACAACTTTTAAAATACTAAGTGATGGATATAAAATGCTCAATCCAATAGTTAAATGGAAGATAGTAAATGGAAGTTTTGTGGATGCTATCAAAGACAATTGGATTCTAGACAAAAGTATAAACAAATGGCCTACGTTTGTTATCCCAATTGATGACAGCCTAGTACGTGTTGAAGAGTTCATCTTGAATGGAAATTGGAATGAGCATGAGCTGAGAAAATATTTTGGCAGGGATCTTATTAATCTTATCATCCAGATTAAAATATCCCTAGAGAAGAAGCTAGATTTCTTGGAGCTGATCAATCAAAAATCTGGAATGAAAATTCCGGGTTTAATCAGAAAATCTGAGGCTAAAGGAACTGTAAATGATATAATGTGGAATTGGATCAAGAAGGCTAAACTAAATGCTCGAGTGGAGGTTTTCTGGTGGAGATTGAAGAGGAATGATATTCCTTCTTTACAATTTTTATGCTATAGAAGGCTCATCCAAAATTCTAACTGCCCAAGGGGTTGTGATACAATAGAAGATGTGGAGCATATATTGTGTGGTTGCTGTAAGCTCAAAGAGGTAATTCAACATTTGAATTGTTGGGGATTTGATATTTAAATGTTTAACAGCAGTGAACATTGCATTAATTGGTTGGAATCCAATGTTTTGAGGAAAGGTATGGTGGTTAAACTGTATTGAACTATGGTATTTCTATCATGGAAAAGCAGAAATAAGAGGATACATGGTGGTGTCGAAGATAACTCCAGCTTTATAGCCTCATAAGCCATTTAAAAATCGGCCTCTCACTATTTTAGCCATTATAATTTAGGCTTTGGGATGTTAATATGTCGTTAAGACTGTCTAATGCTTGGCATTCGCCTCCACCCAATTGGCTATAGCTGCTGTTTTTCGGGACTGTAAAGGAAGGTTCCTCTATGCTTATGGTAAATCCTTCATACATTGGGATATAGCTAAATTGGAGTTGCTTTCTATTAATTATCTTAAAGAGGAGATCAAGGATTGGATGTTCAAATTCAAAGGCATGTTCATTGAAGGAGACAACTCAAACATCATCTCTTACTTTAAAAAGACTTGGAAGAATGAGAAGTTCAATGATGATGGTATGAAATTTCTTTCAAAATTTAATTTTGTTATTTTTGATTGCATTAGTAGAGAATGTAATAAGTTAGCAAACTTATGTGCTAACTATGCTTTAGTGAGTAGTTTTACTTGGGATATTTGCTCTCAGAATAAGGTTCCTCATACATTTTTTAATATATTGAAGGAGGAATCTAATTTGTAGCTGCTTTCTCTTTTTTTATTAGTATAATTTAGCTTCAACTTTGTTTTAAAAAAAATAAAATATTGTACATGATTGGTCAAGACTATATTCCTAGTGTATGAGTTTAGATGAGGGACATTAAATTTTATAAGGACTTTTCCTTATAGATTTCTCTTGAGAAGGCTTAAAAAAATTAAATTGGTATGTCGCAACTTTTCATAGAGTTCCTATCTTGTTGCTACCTTATGGGTTATACATTTCATCGACCATTAATGTTAAGGATAGTGTGCGTAGATAATTGGAATTTGTTAATGTTGAAGGTTGTTTATAGATTTGTTTCCTAGGAATGCCTACATAAAAGGTGCCTCTAAAGCATGCTTCAAGGTGCTATGGATCATCCTTGGAAACATGTGTTCTATTTGGTTAGTTGTTTAATGATTATGAATTCATGGGAATCCATCACATAAAACTTTACTCATTCTAATTATTTTATAGTTTACACTTATAATTCTTAGTTTATTGTTGGTGGCATTACTTCATACACGTCTCACTATAGAGAATGTTGAATCTTAATTATTTTGTGGATAGCACTTTTAACTTAATAATATGATTAACCATAAAAAATGAGGTAGATTGAGAATGATGGAAGAAGAGAGAGAGAGAGAGAGAGAGAGAGAGAGAGAGAGAGAGAGAGAGAGCGAGAGAGAGAGAGAGAGGGAGGGAGAGGAGAGAGAATCAATAGGGATGATATATGATTTCTTATTAATTAGGAAAATAATTATTGAAATAATTATCTTTATTCCAATTTTTAATTTAGCCTCTTCTTCATAGCTAAGGGTAATCTTTTAGCCTTATATGTAAGGCTACATTTAGTAAAAATAATACATTATATAAAATAACTTAATGGAAGATAATAATGAATTAAAACACACTAATTATGGCTCTTAACTATAATAAATAAACAGTATGACTTTTTTAAGCAAGGGATAGACTAACATGAAATTTTTTGTTAACCTTACCTCCATAGGCTATGTTCAAACGAGTTGGTTTGCTAAAAGCTTTGGAAAAATCTACATTTGCATCCTCAAAGACGGGAAGAGATAGGAATTCTTTTAGTGGGGAATAATTTAATTATTTTAAATATAAAAATTGTGCTGTCTCTTATTACTCTTGCACCTCTTTTTTTTCTCTCTCTCTCTTTCACCCTTCTCTTTTACCTATTTTTGTGATGGATCTTCGTAAAAAATTATAAATCTAAATCTATATCGCTCTAATTGCCATGAATGTTCTAGCACTCAAAAAATCAGGAAAACAAATTTAAGGGCACTCTTTACTTACTTTTCATCTTAAGGATTTTAAAAAAATTGGAAGAAATTAAATGATTTTGTAAAATTGAATTGAATCTAATGTTCCTCTAGTCAACCTATTTGTTATGCTTTCTTTATGCTGTCCTTCCAATTTTTTGGTGCTATATGATGGGGCACATGGCCTACTCTGACATCACCCATAACTTTCCCCTCTCTCAAACCCTTCCCAATATCATCCTCCCTCTTATAGCTCCTCAAATGCCCTCAAATTAAAGCTTCTTCTTTCTTCAAATAGTTCAAAAACTTTGGACTTTGCTTCTATTGATCCCTTCCTAAGATGAGGTTATATCCTTCTTAGAAGATGAAATCAGCACTTCATATATCAAATGGGGTCTCTTGCTTTTTGGGTACTCAATTAGGTGAAGGATTTATTATAAAGCCCTTCAAGGCACCATTCACAAGGGTTGGGTTCTTAAAGATTCATTCCAACTCCACTCTCATAGCAAAGATTTCTTCCTTCTCAGGTTCTCCTCTCTTGAGGAATTTGAGATGGCATGGTTTTGGGAAGCTAGTTTTTTTATAGGTAAGCCCTTTGTTCTCCAAAAATGTAATCTTTTATTCACCCAAAACATGAGCTTTTCAACTCAGGCATAAGTTGGCTTAAGGTTCATGACCTTCCCCAAATTTTATTGGAATGCTAAAGGTATTTTAAAATTGTTACAAACCTAGATTCAAAGATTATAGTTTTGATGATAACAAACATTTTTGGTATTTCTATTTCTCTATTTTTGCCTGCGTAATAATGTTTCAGGTCCATAAGGTTAATTACAAATCAAATCAACTCAAGATTGGCTAGATAAGGACTGAGTCAGTTTGTAAGTGTAATTCTAGTATTTTTACCTTTTCTTGAATCAAATGTAATAATGTGGTTTTTGAGGCTAAGTAAGCTTGCACACACATTCTCAGGAAGAGAAATTCTGTAAACCTTAGAGTTTTTCTATTTTGATCATATCGTATAGGATGATCAAAAAATCATCTTGGATGATATGTTAAAATCAGAAACCCTAATTAGTGCTTCTACATTAAGTCAGTTGCATTAAGTAAATCATCTTAGATGATATTAACATTATCCTGGATGATATGATGAAATCAGAAAGAATCAGCCACCATACCATTTTAGGTATGTTATTATTTTTAAAAATTGTACAGGATGATCCCATTTAGTCCTGAATGATTTAATTACATTCTTTACTAAATAAGTCAGGTGATTAAGGAAAGCAATTAAGGTTTGATTTGATCGATCATATCATTCTAGATGATTGTAGGATTATCTTGGACGATCAGTTAAAAAAGCCTTAGTCTTCTCCTGGATCACATGGACGATCAGAATGATATGCTAGATGATTAGTTAAAATTTTCCATCATCTAGGTGTATCACATAAATGACCAGAATAATACTCTAGATGATATTCCTAGTTTTTGAACTAATTGTACGGGACGATTCAAGAATCATCCAAGATAATACATTATGTTTTTTGATCATCCAATATATATCTTCTAGATGACTAGAATTATGTGTTGAATGATATGTATGGTTTTGAAATAATCATACAGGGATGATTAGAACAAACAAGTCTTATAATCTTCCAGCCCTCATAGATCATCCTGGCCGAATGGGATGAAAATACACTAATCGTATAAGAAAATCTTTGACAGCAAGTTGTAAATTAAGGCAAATTTTAATCCTTCTTTATAAGATTTTTTTATTATTCCAGAAAAGATCTTTTGTTTATGTCCTTACCTGAGAGATCCAAGAGAAGGAGAGAGAGAGAGAGGATTTGTGAGGGTGAGTTTATGAGTGGTTCACAAAGGTTATTCCAAGCAAGGATCTGAGTTATCTTCTCCAGTCATCATCCCTAGTTCCTTGAAGGCTCCAAGGTCTTCTTCAATAATCGATCAAGGTTTTATGTCTTCTTCAAGAGGAGGCAAAAGGAGTCTAGGTTCTCTGCTTGCTTCGTGAAGAAGCAAAAAGAGTCAGGTTCTCTGCCACACCAGGGATTGTGGAAAGGCGTTTTTATAGTTTTCTCTGCCTTGTTATGGGAGCAAAAGAAGAGTCACTATATTTTAGTGCAATACTCTGAGGAGAGGCTCCAGGGAGAGGACGTAGTTCATGTTGATCGAAAAAATATAAAATCTAGTGTGTTTTTTCTTATTACATTTTTGCACTTTATTTTATTGTGGGTAATCATATGATTAATATTATAGAATATCTCAAAAATCATAATGTTTATTTAAGGTTTTTTATAACTACCAAATCACATGCCCCCCCCCCCCCTTTAGGTAGTCTCGAGCTAATTCATAAGGGCTTAATAGCCCTAGAGAACTTTCAAGTGGTATTAGAACGAGATTCATAAAATCAAGTTTTAGACAACTTTTGAATTTTGATCCATGGCTAACATTGGTAACTAAAATACTGCTGAAGGGTATTCCATTACCCGACCACAATTGGTTGATAATATACCTTTTAATTTCTAGAAAACTCATAAGTTCATGTTCATACAATCTATAGATTATCGCATGTGGATGCTTGTTAAAGAAAGTTATTCTTCACCATCACGTGAAGTTAGTGGCATCAAAATTAAACTTCTATTTTCTGAATGGACTCTTGATGATAGGGATTTAGCACAACATAATGTAAAATATTTAAACTATTTTTTTTGTGCAATAAAATCTGTATATTTCATGCGTGTTTCAACTTGTACAACTGGTAAAAAATTTGGGATAAATTATGTATCAGTTATGAAGGCATAATTGAGGTTAAGAAATCTAGATTGAATATCTTTCTTCATGACTATGAAATCTTTCACATGAAACATAGTGTGTCAATATCTAAAATGTATACTAAGTTTACACAAATTGTCTCCACCCAAATGTCTTAGGAAGAGAACTCACTAACAAAGAGAAAGTTGACAAAATTTTGAGATGTTTAC